TTCTGCATAGTTCTGTCCCGGTGGCTGTTATCAGAGGGCAACTCTTCAGAAGGAGCACCCAGAGTTCTCACATTGAACAATGGGTCCCATAAAATTACTCCAGAAACCAAATCTTGGCAACTGTTAAGAAAGTTTCTCGAAGATCGATATGAATTTGACAGTTACTGGGATCTCCACCTTCACTCCAGTTCAGCCTAGGGTTATCTGGGACAAGAGAAGACAGCACATTTTTGAAATGCTAATAGTAATATCTGAAGAATTAAATTCTCACCATGCCCATTTAACTAAAAAATAACAACAAATAAGAGCGATTCAGGATCAATCTGCTGTGCTCTACAATCTTGTCAAATTTTGTGTCACGAGTCAAAATATGTGATCTCAGATTCAGAGCATATATGCTCTTTCCTGCTAAAATCAGAGAAAGTCAGCCCCGGCCGGTGTGGCTCAGTCGGTCGGTGTCACCCCACACACCGAAGGGTTGCTGGCCCAATTCCCCGGTCCACGCGCATGCCCAGGCTGCGGGCTCGATTCCGGGTAGGAGGTGGGGGGCAGCCGATCCATATTTGGCTCTCACGTAGATGTTTCTCTCTCCCTCTCCCTTCCCCTCTTCCTTTAAAAAAAAAAAAAAAAAAAGGCAATAAAAAATTAAATTAAAATCAGAGACCATCTGCATGGTGCCATGCGAATAATTAAATAGTTAAGGTGAGAAAGGAGGGAGAGGAGGGGGGAAGGAAACGTGGGGAAAGCAGAAGGGGGGGAGAGAAGTGTCTTCCAAAGGGTAAGTTGGGGGGGGCCAGTTCATTCATTCGCGCCACAGTCAGAAAACAACAGCGCCTTCGCCATCACCCTTCACGCAGAAGGGGGCAGTCGGCGAGAGCCCCGACACCCCGAAACCCCCTAAGCGCGGGGCCCTAGAGTCCGCATCTGCCCCTCCCCGGGGAACACGCTGCGTCTCCATCCGAGCTGGCGCCGACCAGCCTCTCCGGCCGGACGCAGCCCCGGCTCCTCCTGGACGATGCTCCGCGTCAGTAAAAGGCCATTTGCTCACCTTTAGGGAAAGCGGGCAGGGAACCCCCGGGCCCAGGACTTGGCGCTGGGCCTGCAAACCAGAGGCTCCAGACTGCTGTTTACTTCATCCCGTCTGTCCATCCGTCTGTCTATCCCTCCGTCCTTCCTGCTAACAGACACTTATTGAGCTTTCCTTACATGCCTGGTCTTGCCTTAGGAGCTGGGGATAAAATGTGTCAAGAGGGGGGCAAAATCCCCATTTTCAAGATACTTCTACTCCAGAGGCTTAAACAAATATTTACATAATTATACAAATAAAAATGGGATTGAGAACTGCAAGGACCGACATGAAGGGAAATTACAGGATGCTATAGAACCCTATAATGAAAGGATTTGATTCCAGTTTTCACATGTCCTGAGAAAAACAAAACAAAGCATGCATCTTGGATTTTTAGGGTGGAGAGAGTATTTTGTCTGTTAACCATGGCCAATAAAATACTTAAGCAAAACCTCATAGGATGTCATTTGTGTTGAAATCAAACTTCTTGGGCCTTTGTTTGCTTTTAAAACGCTTTCTATTGCTATCAAAAAGACTCCGAAAGTGAACAGCAAACAGTGTTTATTTATAGTGTTTAGTAGGCTAATTTAAAACAAACTAGAGCATTTTAAGAGGAGTGGAAATAAAAAATTCAAAAGTGGTGGATCCTGTCTAAACAGAGCAACAGCTCTGGACCAGAAAGAATTCAAAGGGTTCTAGTCTCCTTCCAACACATCCCAGCTGTGCTGTCTCAGCCAATTCTGTAACCTCTCTGAGCCTCAGTTTCCTCATCTCTAAAGGACTTGCCAGACTCACCTTCTGAGGGGCATCTGAGCTAAAGTACAGGCAAGTGCCTTGTGACAGCCAGTATAGAAAGGAGAGTACAGAAAGGATAGAAAAACATTAAAAAATATTAACGCCAGGGTGAACCACCCCTCTTAGGGGGATTAGTCCTGACTCTCCCGAAAGACTTCATCAGCTATTTGAAAGATGTTGTGTATTTATCCTTAAATTGCTTACGAATCATCTCAAGCAAAAGCTCCTGCCAATGTTATCAGAGACGGCTCCTTAGCACATCACACTTAGTACCCTGAAAAAAACCCCAGCAAATGCTTTCTGCAATAAAGAACCAGATGTGCACTTGGGATTCAACTTGTGCCGAGAGGAAAATGGCATTGTTTTGAAATATATACTCACTGGGCTCTTTATTGCTTTTTTTCTCCCCCTCTTAGAAGCATATGCAAGAATGACAGAGTAAACCTGAAATTGAAAGTTCAGCTTGAGAGAAAATGCCATTTTAATCAGGGGAGGTAGGTAGGGATTCTTACTGGAGTTCATTCCTCAGCAGGCACCATATTTTCACTGTAGAGGCCCTTACATTTGTTACTGATCCATGAAGGGCGTTGCTCAACACACATGGGCTCCGGGGCCATCTGCCTGGCTAGAAAAATGGGCCACTCTGGGAAATCACGGCCTGGAGGAGACATTTTTAACCAGTCCTGTCAGGAGGAATCAGTTGATGTGTACCTCCCGGGATTTCAGTGCAGGAACTCCAAAGGTGTAGGTGAGATTTTATAAATTCCGATCATTTGCAAAGTGTTCCGAAGGCTCTTCTGAAATCAGCTCAGCCCTCTAAATAACTGTGTCCACTGTGGACATGCTACCATCTCAGTGAAGGGGCAGGAATTAAATATAAATTGAGCGTGAAAAAATAAAATGCAGCCCTGGCCGGTGTGGCTGTTGATTGGGTATCACCCTGTCACCGAAAGGTTGCCGGTTTGGTTCCCACTCAGGGTGCGTGACCAGGGTTGTGGGCTCGATGCCCAGTAGGGGGCGTGCAGGAGGCAGCCGATACATGTTTCAATGTTTCTCTCTCTCCTCTCTTCCTTTCTCTCTAAAAATCCAATTAAAAAAACTTTAAAAAGAAAGAAAGAAAAGAAAATGCAATTTTTTAAACACAATCAAGGAATGCGTTACTTATGACCAAGTCTGAACGCATGCTGAGATAGAATTCCCTATCTACTCAATTTGCTCTCTTTTTACGTGAAAAGGAAAGACATAAAGTAGGAAACACCTCAGCTTTATTAATGCAAACATATTTTTATTAAAGAATGTATGCATTTATGCTAAAGGACAGTTTACATGTGTGGAAAGCAGCAAGCATTTCTCCAAGAGGCGGGTTCTCCTCAGTCTGACTCCATGCGCATTCTACATGCCTGAAACCCAGACCCGCACACGGGCACACGGACACAACACAGACGCATATGGGGACACAGATACACAGGCCGAAACACCGACACAGTTGCTCTCCGGATGCAATTAGCTCTCATTTAAGGCTTCTTTCTGTAAGGTGCCCCAGTACCCCTAATATCACCAGGATGAAAAACAGACTTGGACCAATGAGCAGCATTACCTGCGAAACCAGCCATCTGCTCTGGGCCTTAAACGCAAGTATTTTAACAAATGCTTTCCATTTCATTCCATGCTGACCCTCGGCGCTTATGACCTCAAAAGATCCATGAAACTGAGAAACCTCAGGCTGAGCGAGAACTTCTCATTAGAAACAGTGAACGCACTGGCGGTCCTGACCCTGAGATGTTCCCAATTTGAAGAAAACAGGGTCAGATTTCTCTTTAGATGAAGCTGAACACCGGTTCTCTAGACAAGCCAAGTTTAGAGAACTCACTGGAGTGCAACCTTGAGAGATGGGGGCAAGGCTTCGCTGGTGACACCAAGTCAGATGTGAAGCTTGCCAGGAAGGACTCATCACACAGGACCATCGGCTAAATAAGTTACCATACGTCGGGGTTGGAAAGAAGGACAGCCTGCGTGGGGTTTGTTCACTTGCTGAGCACGCCTTCCCTCTTGCCAAGGTTTCTGTTGTGGTGGCGCTTGTTTGAAACTCCTAGCTGGTGTGATGGTCGGTTTCCTCTGCTCAGCGACCTTCCTCCCTTTTGGTGTCCTGCAGTGTATGCTGAGGGCCATCCCCGGGGGGATGCTGGCAAGGGCTCGGAGGGGAGGGGAGTG